GGAGGAGGAGGAGGAGGAGGAGGTGGACAATGGATGGGGAAAGAACTAAGAATAACATTTTGAAAAAGTATCAGTGACTTAGCCTGATCTCTTTCTGCAGGCAGTGTTATCATGGCTGGAAGATTCACCATCTTTGCCACTTGCATTATTATTGACCCTCTGAAGTGTGACTGCCATCTACAGCTGAACTAACAATTATGAGCTGCTCCACAGAATTTAAGCAGTCAAAAATACAATTAGTAAATTAGTCCTACTGAACTTAGAATCTTTACAGTACTTTCAAATAAACATTTATAGAAATATGCTGTACTTTCCCAAGGAAATCAATGTAGAAAGTAAATCCCATTGAACTTACTGAATTTTACTTTCAAGTAAACATACATCAGGCTGTGTTGTACTGTCTTACTGAAATTCATGCAATGTGTTATTAATACATTTAAATTAGATTTCAATGCATCTAAATTCAGCTAATTTAGTCTGGATCCATTTAGCCGGTTTAGTTTGGATCCAGCCTAGGATTTCTGGGAGCTGGAGGAGGGGAGAAGCATGACCTATAACTATGTAACCAGGTTTTTGAAGACCTGTTATGAAATACACAGGGAGCTTGTTTTACTATTTCAGAAACTTCATTCCAAGCAACAATGCCAATGTAGAAGCTATCAGGGGTATCTGTAAAGGTATTGGGGGGAAGTGAGATCATGATATCATTATCCAAATAATGCAAATTATATAATTCACATCATTTGCACAATGACATTGCAACATACATGATGTAACTGTGGTTTCTGCAAAACATTAGGAAAGCTATGAAAAACTGTCAGAGTAGCTATAACAGCAGCAGTTTAGTTGTCATTCTTCCTTGAAATATTATCAAGTCACACTCACCCAGCGTCTGTGCTGTTGCCACACAGTAATGCATCCGTTGTGCCCTCTTTAATGAAGTAGTTGTCTGTAATAGAAATGAAGCAATCAATGAGTGTTTTTAATTAGCAAAAAGTGCAAGGTGAAAAAAATTTGATCCCCTTTATCAGTGTAAATGGAGAATTGTTCAAAATTATCTGAATGTACGACACCTTTGCACACCAAGAGATGCGTCTATGCTAGAATTCTCCCCGTCCCAGACATTCTTGTTTTCTACATAACTGAATAAATAGACCCCAGCACCTAGTTAATATTATCAGAGTACGTGGATGGGAGACCACCAGGAAATTCTAGACTATTAGGATGTGTCAGGGATGCATTCAGGTAGCATCAGGAGTGAAGGACAACTTGGAGTGTATTTATATATGAAGTACTTTAACATTTATACATATAGTAATAGGCAAAAACAGGCATGGGTACATTGGCTGGGGATTATGGGAGTTGAATTCTAACACATTTACGGGAGGCCGGGTTGGTGAAAGTCAAGATGAGAGGGAAACAAAATGCTGGACTAAAAGAGGTCTTGGCCTGATCCACCCAGACTATTCTTGCGGTCTTACCAACCCATTAAAGAACTCTGTGGCCTCACCCTGGAAACAGGCAGGATGAGATCAATACTACCTGCTTTTCCTTTCCCCTTAACTGCCACCACCATCATATGAGTCTAGACCACTATAGGTAGAGATTCGGGAAGGCTTTGCATCGTGGATTCTTCCCCTCACACAGCAGGAAGTTCTGCTAAACTTGGCCATCTCTGCTTAGAATAACAAAAGAATGCCTAAAGCATTTATTATGTCCTGAGATGATGCACTGTTTTTGCAATCGATAAATAGCCACTTTTCTTTCAAGCATTCACCCCATCAATTTTTTCTTTCCTCACGTTGGGTGTGATGGTGTTGAGTAGAACTTAGCTATCTCTGTAAGTGACAAGGCGCTTATAAAGCAAAACAGCATGACTGTGGCAGGAAGGAATGTGCAACGAGCCATCTCATGCCTCTACAGGATAGATAAAAGATAAAAAAGCAATGCCAGCTATCCTTTCATGCTCCCCCACTCAGCAAGCCTGGGGGAAATTCAAGGGGAAATCACTATAGGTGACAAAAAGAGAAGGGTGTTTGGAGGCACTCTTTATAGGCTGATTAAGGGGTGAAATGAAATATGCAGCAATAAAAGGAATGCTAATTTTTAAATAATACAAGAAAATGCTTATAAGGCATAATTGTAGTATCTGTGACAGGATTACAGAATTTGCAATATCTTTTTAGGAACTTTCAGAGCATCTGAGAATGGCTGTAAATGGTGCACGCTATAATTCCTGTTGTATAGTTTCCTCCAGTTTCCATAGTACTTTCTGTACTATGACTGCTATGTCATATTCTCCTCTGAAAATAGAAAGGTAACTCAGAAGGGTGCTTTTTCTCCCCAAGTTCCAGTTTAGGAGTTCGCAAAAACTGTAAAAAAAAAATAAAAAAGGCATCCGAACCTGATCGATGTCCAGGAGCACTACTGCAAGAATCTACGACTTCATTATCCCTGTGCATAAGCCAGGTTTAGGATTGTGCATGATGCAGAATGGGGTTAGGTGCCGGGTGGTCATCACAGGGACTGCCTTGGGTCCTCTGAATCACTCCCCAAGCAACAAACTCTTTGCATGTGGTAAAGTAGAGTCTCAGGGAGTGGGCTATGGTGAGCTATGTGCTATTATCTGTTAGATTTTTACAGGCATAGATTTGATTTTTCATTAATGCCCTAAAATGTATCCATGAGTGCCCCCCCCCCCAAAAAGCATGTCTTCTCAGGAGTCTTGTATATTTTGTTTTAGATCAACAGTCAACAGTCAAAAGAGGATTAAACCAAGCCTGGTTCCTATACTGAATACTATAGCATACTCTGCTTCAAAGTCAAACTTTCACAGGACATCATAAATTTACTCTAAGTTTCGAGTTATGAAGCTAGAACCTGGAAACCATTCTACAAAGCCATTTTGCATTCTGCAGCAGCAATTACAGCCAAGCTACTCACCCTCCTTTAAAGTAATCCCTAAAATCCTGTTCCAAAGGGCAAAAGAAAAGCAATGAATTTACAGGAACTGCAACCAAGTTGTTAAAAAATGGGAGCCTGTGAGCACTGAAAAATATCATCAGCATGGCATGCTATTTCGGCAAGAAAGTTGGGAAGATATCCTTTGACTTCCTTCCACATTTCAAATTTTTTGAAAACTCCCAACCTTTCCATGGCTATTATCCAGAATAGGCTTCCCACAGATCAATAAACTTTCACTCCCTTGGGCAGGTAAGTCAATCTTGTCTCTTACAGAGGTATTAACTCTGGGGTTGTGAATAACTGGGTTTGAAAGTCAGCCTTTCAAAACTACAAAGGAGCCTTAATTATCATGTTCTTTGTTTTTATGGAATTGTTATGTAGTGCCTCAGAAATGTAGCTACTGTTATCTCCTTGTTCTATAACACCTACAAATTCTCTAGGTCCCCTGGCCCTCACCCTTAAATTGCTCCCATCAATCTGTAAAATGAGTTTAATAATACTGCCCAACCTTGCAGAATTGTTGTAAGGATCATTTGGGGATGAGACATGTCAGGAAGAAGCAGGATCTGATTTTTTTTTTTTAATCCATCTCTGTTGGTAAATGAAGATTAATAACCCCTTTGTTCAACTGAAAAAATAGGCAAATAGAAAGTTTGTCACTGAAAACATGGATCAGTAGGATACTAAAGGTTGACATCTTGGTTTATACCAACCCAGTAAATGTCAACAGACACAGTGTGGCTGGCAGTTTCCAAGGCAGGCATCTTCAGGCAAAGTAGTGCTGATGGGCATTGTTTTATCTTATCTTCACCTATCTTTACAGAATTGTCTAGAAAAACACAACTTTTAGAATTCTCTAGAAGCTGGAAAAAAATGTGATTCTCTGGCATTCCAACCATCCAGGCAACCACTAGACAACAGCCCCAACAGTTTTCTATATTCTTTGCTGCCATCTAATGGTTGTCCACATTTTTCCACTCTGTATCTGATCATTCTACCTAGGTATAAGGGCCTACTTCCCCACCTCCCTTTTGCAACGTGCCACAGCCAAATTGTAGAAGGCATACAAATACTGTGGGAGTCTCTAACAAGTGACACAGAGTATTTTTCTATGTGATAGACCTCACTGAGATGGTGTTCCCTTTCCTAAAGGGTCCTTTTACCTAATAATGAGTTTCAAAAAATAAATTGAATGGCCTCAATGACATCTGAAATGCCTTCAGAAGCAGAAAGTTTTGGAGGAAAACAACAACAACTAATAATAAAGGCCATGTCAAAGCAACCAACAAAGCAATAATTCCCTCTATCCCCCCCCCCAAATATCTATATCAATATAAAAACTAGGCAGGTAACAATTTGTGAGACATATACCATCAGTAGCATGTCAGAATAGTCTAGAGTGATAGAGAGGCTGTCATTAAAACATTAACTAAATCTTTAAAACTAGAAAAAAAGTTGCTGCAACTCCTTTAAGAATGCAATAAATATGTCTTAAACAGCTGTAACTTTTTTTCAGGCTCATACAGAAGACTGAAGAACCACCAATTTCGTAATGAAAGCAGACCCTGCGCTTCTGTGAGGTCCGAAACACATTTTCTAAATAATTCTCAAAACATGCCCAGCCTTACTAATAGAGTAAGCAAGTGTTACCCCTTCACCTAAAAAAATCTGGAGCCGGGGGAATGCATTCTTCAGACTTGACCAGTCATTGAGCTTAATTTTTCTCAAAGGGGAAGACTGAACTGCACATTTGCTTATTGCTATTTACCTCTTAAAAATCTAGGCTGACTCATAACTCTTAAATGGCACTTTATTACTAAGTGTACCCTTAGTATCTCCATCAAGACCTATTTTCTCTGCCAAATCCTAAGCTTCTTTCCTAGAAACACACATTAAAAAATCATATATGGGGGAATTTTTCTTCTGATCAGCAAAACATCCTTCTGTTGTTACACACTTGCCACAAACATACATAATTCATCAGTTTCATGATGAACTGAAGTTGTATACTATCTGACTTTAGTACAATGTATTAAAATCCTTTTTTACAGAAGATACAAAAGATATGGATACAGAAGATGCAGAAGAATACAGAAGAGCTGTATGCCAGCAACAAAGAGGCCCAGCCCTCTCTGGATGATGAGGAAAGGGTAGCAGAAATAGAACCAGCCATCCTTCAGGAAGAAGTCATGTGGGCAATGAGCCAACTGCCAAATAACAAGGCCCAATGTGTTGATACCATCCCTGCAGAATTGCTGAGGCCTGTACCACCCACAACCATCACAGCCTCGTGCCAGGAAATTTTGGAAACAAACACATAGCCACAGGACTAGAAACGATCAGTGTTCATTCCATTGCCAAAAAGGGGCAACTCCAAGGATTGCTCCAATTACTGCACAGTTGCCCTCACGCTAGCAAGATTCTCCTTAAGATCATACAATGTCTGGCACTGACCATTGAAAGGGAATTACCAGATGTTCAAGCTGGCTTCAGAAGGGGTCATGGCACTCGTGACCATATTGCAAATCTACACTGGATCACAGAACAATCTCAAGAATATCAAAAGAACATCTACATATGCTTTATTGACTACCAGAAAACCTCTGATTGTGTCAATCATGACAAGCTGTGGAGAGTCCTAGAAGACCTAGGGGTGCCAACCCATCTGGTCAAGTTGGGGCAGTCACTGTACACAAATCAGGAAGCCACTGTGCGAACACCATATGGAGACAGTGATTGGTTCAAGACAGAAAAAGGAGTATGGCAAGGTTGCATTCTTTCACCTTTCTTATTCAACCTGTATACCAAAGTGATCATGAGGAAGCTGGAACTTGAAGAATCAAAAATCAGAGTAAAGGCTGGAAGGAACATCAACAATCCTTGATATGCTGACGACACAACTCTCAGAAACCAAAGAAGGCCTGAAACATCTGATCAAAAGGATTAAAGAAGAAAGCAAGAAATGTAACCTCTTCCTGAACAGCA